CTGAATTTAAAATTTAATAGAAATATAAAATTATAAAATAGTAAAATTTTTGAATTTTATTTTTGTATGAAATAATTTTTTTTTTTTATATAATATTCGCAGATGAAACCGAATTGACAGTTAAGAAGTTGTAGATTGCACTGGTCAAGAAAACCATTTTTATGGTTTTCTGTTTTCCTACTGAAGATCTGATTCATTGAGAAATACTGGTTTTAACACTTAAATTTTGCTTTTGCCTAATTCAAATTGCTCTGAGCCAATACGAGCATAAAAAAGATACTAAAAATATTTCTGAGTTTTATGGAGTTCTGTTGTCATGCTCAAATTTTGATTTTAGACCTTGAGAAATACTCGAATTTTTATTTTTAGCGCTTAAAATTTAAATTTAAAAAAAAAAAAAGAAGAAATTGAAATTGAATATATAGAAGTCGGATCCAAAGATGGTGTGACTGGCGTTATCGACATTATAACACGAAATTCATCAGCTGCTTGCTTTTTTAGTAAAGCACACAACCAAATCTTCAGCCTAGACAACACCCCGCAATGTTAAAGAGAGTCAAATTTATAGTGTGGACAACAGCAGGCTTGTCTTTCAATTACTACTCAATTTCAATTCGATTAAGAATTAATGTAGTATTTTTTTATTTTATAAGTAAACCGATCTAAATGAGTGCTTTAATCGGACAAAGGTCGCGTATTTGATTAGTCGCTTAGTTGCTCAATTAACTCCTGTGCGAAAGGCTATTACCCAAAAATTTGCCAAGAGGTTTGTAACGTCGAGAAGTAAACTTCGGGGACCCTATAAACTATTTATTTAAATGGCCTGTGTGTTGAGCTGACTTGCTTTAACCTTCTACATCTCTCTGCCTGTTAGTATGTTTGTATGTATATACGAAAAATAGAATTTTGCTAACAACAAATAAAAATGATTTGCAAATATTAGCTTGAACTTCATTTGTTTAATTTTTTTAAATATAGATATATTGAGTTTGGCTTGTCGAAAAATCTGTTAAAGGTATTTTCAAACTAATTTTTGAAGTATCTATTATGTTACAACTTTCTACCATTTTCGAGGTGCACAATCACTGTCCAACGAAGGGCTCTTCATCGACTTTTCTAATGTACCAATTGCTTCCAATAAAAATATATATTTTTGTATAAATACACTTTTTCGTGAACTATTCGGAATGTAATGCTTGAATGGGAGACACTACCCGCCTATTCGGGCTAACTCTTTCATATAACCTTTATGTAACTGTGTGCCTAAAGTTAGGCAAAAATTTTTGTTTACTAAAAAACCTAGTATATTTTCTCGTTTGCTTTACGCTACAAGTAAGAAAAAATAAAAAACTATTGCCTAAATTACTTGATAAATGTAAGCAAACTCCTTCCAATAAAAATAAATAAAAAAAAAAATTTTTCTCACCACTTATTTTAACCACTGAGAAAATAATATCTCACATTGAAATCCTCGCTGTTTTCTTTAATATAACATTTATGCCTGAATGTAGGCAATGATGGACGCATTTTTTTCTCTCTTTTGTTGCTTTAAAGAAGCATTCATGGCTGAATTATTCATTTAAATTCAATTCAAATATTCTTCCATACCTAAAGAACATAAAAAAGATATTTTTAAATAAATACTTATTTACTTTTAACTCACTCAGCTCACAACGGTAATGTCTCCCATCGTAGCTTACTCGAGCTTTCCACTTTTTTGCTTCCTTTATTTAACATTTATGCCTGAATGTAGGCAACGATTTTTGTTACTTAAAAGCCATTAAATTATTTTATTGTTTTTATTTTAGTATAAATAAGCAAAACAATGAAAAAAATTAAATTAAAAATTTTCAAATGTCAGCACTAACTTAATTTTCTAATTATAAAGGGTGATTCTTTTCAAGGTTTTACTTTTTTAAAGAAAAAATAAAGAAATTTAAAATTTAATGGAGAATGTATATTATCATTCGAAAGAACATTCTTTGGCATGTATTTTTTGAAGACTATCTCTTCTAAATATGGTCAATCCGTTGAGTACAATTCGTGACGACTCGTTCGAGCATTACGACTGGTAACCGGCGAATGACTCGCGTGATGTATTTCTCCAAAGCTGAAATTGAAGCCGGATTTATCGCATAGACTTTACATATCCATTAATAAAAATCTTGATGATCTTGGTGACCAAATCTCGGACCCAAAACGTGAAATTTTCTGCTCGCCGAAGTGTTCTCTCAATAAATCCGACGCCGTCTTTTAGAGACCAAATGTCGTCGAGATCACGAGCTTCAATTTTCAGGCATCAAATAGTCGGTTATTATGACGCTAGAATGGTCACCATTGACGGTAAGATTCTCGCAGTCAAAATTTTTGAATAAATATGGACCGATGTTTCCACAGGCTCACAAACGACACCAAATCGTTGTTTTTCTGAATGAAGTGGCAGCTTATGAAACTCTTCTGTTTGCTCTTGAGATAGAAATGAACCACATCGCTGAACGAAATTTGGCTTGAAAACGTTGGATCTTCTTGAATTTTTTCAAGAACCCAATAATGTTGACCATAAGCTTGACATGACTCACACCTGTCAAAAGAGACTACTGAAAAAAGTACCTCTACTTGTATCACCTTTTATATGGAAGTTGTCGCTTACCGTTCAACCCCTGCCTTGCCGAAACGCACGTGCTTTTTGTCATTTTTATCGTTAGTGTACTTTTAATCTGCGAATTTGCAGCAAACTTTTACCTTGCACGCCAATATTCATTTAGACTGACAGTTTCAGACAGGCAAAGTTGTTGCACGTTGCACTTTTTACCTCAGCGTATAGTTAAATGCTGCACTTGCACCAAACATACCTACGACGCACATACCTTCCACTATGTTGGACGTATCGATTGGCGCCACCTTCGCCTCGTGCTCATTTCCTTGGATATATTTGCTGCTGTTTGTTTTTAAGTACCAACTCACAATTTTCCTGCCACTTGCACACATTTTTAAGTACTTTCAGAGAAAAAAAAAAGTTTACATTGTTCGCAAATATTATAGAAAAGAAGCAGCAGCAGAACTTACTAGCACTAGTCGCTTTATTTTGCATACTTATAGGCGCTAGAACGTTTGTCTGCCGCTTTGCACTTGTTTTCAATCGCATGCAATGGCATAAACTTTGCTAAATGCTAAACTTGGAGCTCTCGTTTCTATCAATTCTCATTGTTCTACTTCTACAATAGAATACACTAGTCGCCCGTGCGATTTATACTACTTCCTTGTCTTTTTTATCATATAGTTTCCCCAATTGTTTTATTTCTTTATTTATATCCATTTGTATTGGGTGCTTTGTTCGTGCTATTGTGCTGCCACTTATCGCTTCGATCTGAAATTTCATTTTAATTTGCCAAAGCACTTAATGGTATCATTTGCAGTTGTCTTCTGTTCAACTTTTACCTTCCATTTTGTTTGAAAGTTCCGTCTTTGCTGCTGCCCGCATGCCATCAAGTTGTCGTAGTAATTTTTATGTGCGCCGACCTCCGCTACAGGCTGTTGGTGGTACCAACTTTATTGATTTATTCGTGCATTCGAGTTTCGGAGACACGACTAACTATGTGCGACAGTCGAATGTAATTCAATTATTTGCAGAAACAAGAAATGAAAGCAAACAACAAGAAAATAACTATAATACCCTTCACAGTGCATTTTTTATAGCATATAAAGATATCTTCTTCTTTTTTATTGACTTAGACATCGCTTTCTCGGGTGGTTGTAAATGCCACAAGGGCCTACTCGTCTTGGGATGGTTCGCCTTCTCACTTTAGGTCGCCTTCAAATGGTTGTTCTTTGGCTACTCAGAGATTTCTTAGTCTAAGACCAGTCGTTAACTGTATAAACCATACGTAAAAGAATCATTCTGACCACTCCATCGGACCATCGGACCACTATATCATATAGCTTCTATACAAGCTGAACGATCGGAATCAAGTTCTTGTATGGAAAACTTTCACATTTGACGAGATATATTCACTAAATTTGGTACAGATTATTTTCTAAGGCAACAATGTAATATGAGAAGAAATTGTTCAGATCGGCTCACTATATCATATAGCTTCTATACAAGCTGAACGATCGGAATCAAGTTCTTGTATGGAAAACT